ATGATATAATATAAAGATTTTTTTTTTAAATATGATATAACAATTTTATACTGAGCGACTGTTACTTATAATTAAGATACATTTTCTATTTCCACTTCTCGAATTGCAACCAAGCCTCCATTATTGTTCATAAAAAGCTCACTTAGTGGAACCCATCAAATGATCTTCAAACTGCCTTTTATGATAGGTAACTTTATACCATATATATTTGATGTACTCAAATCATATATCATATTTATTTAGATAGCTCTTATATGACATACTCAAATAACGTTAGATGCGTAAAAACAATTAGACATAACCACAGGGTTCAGAGTGTGTCTACATAATGCTTAGCACCCCACAAATTGTGATCACTTTTTTTTTTTTTTTTACCAACAGCTGACGCAGTCACATGGCTTGGGTAAACAGATAAAAGAGCACCGCTCACCCCCGCTGAGGCTGGATCAGGGTGATTGCATCAGCAATTGCTGAGTGTGGCATAATTCATTGGAACATCAGCTCACGTCAGATCTGTATAAAGAGATACCTCGCCAGGCATACCGAGGCGTGTGGCCCTATGTTTTGATAGTCTCCAATAACAGGACCAACTGTTGGAAAACTGGAAAAGCAACTATCTGAATATTAGTGAGGCGTTTTCGGTTGTGGTTGAAGAACGTCATAAGGGTTGTGCCGATCCTAAGCCAAATGTTATTTTATCAATTCAAATGTAATTTTGCAGAAAGTCAGAAATTTGCCAACATATGCGAGAAATGTTAAAGCGCATTACGACTGATTTAAGCCATCTGTCATAGCTGAAATATGCTGAAAATACCAGATGAAGAGCACATATTTGTTCTAGTGTTCCCACGTTTACGGCACACTCCAGAAGCTTGTAGCCCAAAGCTTAAACGGATCGACTCGGAAACATATCATATATCATAGAACGCGCATACGCTGAGCAAACTCATCAATAAAACTGTCTTTTGTTTGGGGCCCAAACTCAACCACATTTCAGTTGGAACAATCATTAATCTATTTCTCTATTTATAACCACGAATTGATGGCTGTGCGAGGCGCTGATGACTTGACAATTGCCGGCTAATTATGCAGCAGCCGAAAAGAAATGAATGGAAATTCAGCTGCCGAAGTCTTTCCTAATGAAATTAGAAGACGCCTCGTTGCAGCTGACTTCCGAGATTAATTGGTCTGGCCACGGATAAGATCTCTTACAAGCTTCAAATGCACTTATAACCAAACATTTACTTAATAACAATATAAGTACCCATTACATAGAGCCGTAGATTGTGGTTGAGATTGTTAATTCATTAAGATTTTTGGGTGAAGTGTCTTGAAATATGATTGGTAGCGGCTCAGTTCGAGTTAAGAACTGATGAACATTTCTTGTAGAAGAGAAGAATTTCATTGAAAAAAAAAAAAACATTTTTTAGTTCTTTCATTAAGTTTGCAATTTAAATGTGTTTGCAACTTAAGTGTTAAATAAAAAATGAATTATTGAATTACCAAATATAATTTTTAATTCAAATCTATTTATATAAGATAGGAACTTCTTTCTATTATATTAAAATTCTTTAATTAAGTAGTTTAATATATATTGTGGGAATTTAAATTTAAATAAACTGGAGCCTATATATTTTCTTTTCCCAATGCTAAATTTCATCACAATCTATTTACCAACTCTCTCTCTCTCTCTCTATTAATATGTTAATCTCTATGATAATAAGCTACATTTTTAAAACTTGTCAATAAATATAAAAATCATATTCAAAAATTTAATTTGTAAATTATATTCCATTATACACTTAATTATCCAAACACTAAAAATGGCTGAACCCATACGAACTATGCGCTATTATCTCATGGATGAGATTGTTATACATAATAAGAAATTCGACTGTTGGGTTGTTATACACAAGAATGTTTTCAATTTGACGCCCATGCTCAAGGATCGCTGCGATCACTGGAATCGCGTATGTTTTACCTCTTATATAAATCTATATAATCGAATAGCTGTGCTCTTATCCAGACCCTGGACTATCTGGTGGCCCATGCTGGCAAGGATCTGACGCATCTGTTTCACGAGAACGGTGAGCCGCGCACCGAGATCTCGCCCAGCTCGGGCCGACCCCGAGTGCTCTTTCCACCCATTCTGGAGGTGGCGATCAGCGAATACGCTAAAACCAAGCACGCCATGTGGAGTCAGGATCCGTTTTATCACATAGGTCGCATCACACGACGACCACGCCGCATACGCGTGATCAATGCGCTGACTGGCCATGTGCAGCACATGACCGTATGTGATGAGGACAGCATCTACGACATTCAGCAGAAGTACAAGTCCCGCTACAATCATCATGCTGGCTCCTATGAGTGGCGCAAGTTCTCGAACAGCGTAAGTCTGCAGGGAGACCTTATTGAGGGGCTCAACTAATTTCTACTTCCACTCAGGCCAAGCGCTGTGGCCTCTTGAATTTGAATGGCACCTTGGACGAGAATGGCCTGACAGATGATGAGGACTGCGATGTGGAACTGCCGCCGCCCTCTCTCTGGCTCTACTACACAGATGACCTGACCATCGCTTGATTGGGCATTTGGCAATTTGTTTTTAGCTGCTTTCACAATTTTGGGTTAGTCGAAAATTTGTTGTGCATGGTGCAGGTAAAGAAGCATTTCAAGCTACGCTGCGTTCGCCTCTTGGATATGGACATGGCCATAGGCCTGGGCACGGGCATGGGCATGGGCATAGGTCTGGGTCTGCATCGAGTTTTAGTTTAGGTCTGGTTCGCGCAATACCATTTATTTTCGTTTTAAACAAATGTCATGGTCGACATGAGCGGCTAATAATAACAAGCCCAAAAGTGCAGCGGACTTGTTCAGGGCCGCTTCTATGAAATACACTGAGAGAAATTTCAGAGAAACCGATCGTACAAATTTGATATATATGTAAATATTAATTGAATCGACTATGGATTCTTGATATATCACAAATGTATGACCAATTCGTGACCTCTGTAGGAAATTCTGTCATATAACAAATGCATACTACAAAGTTTTATCTTCACATTGTTTTATAATCTACAAATTGAAATATTGTTTATGAAACTTAAAGGCTTAGCTTAAACTTAAAGAATTAATATTTGAAACATTTTATTTATGCATTCCACTGACATACATTAGTTATTTTGTTCAGTGCATGTAGTGCATGTTCTAAATATGCCTTATTGCTTTGGCTTGCTTAATATATGCGGGTTTTTTGGTTGGTTGGTTGGCTGCTTGGATGGGGTTGGGGATGTGGATGTGATGCCTGTTAACTCGTGTATGACGCTTGGCAATGCCTGCAGCTGCCCAGCTGCTCAGCAGCCCAACAGCCCAACCTCTTGTAGGTGACGCTGGCACGCGTTACATTCGGCCAGCAGCTTCGCCTACTGCCACTGCCATTGCCACTGCCACTGCCGCTGCCGCTGCCGCTGCTAAGGGGTGCCAACTGAACTGTAAACGTTTTATTTTTTACTTTGCAGTGAATTATGCCAAGTTTGTGCCTTAAGTCTTTCGTTTCTGACATGGATTATGGCACGGATTCTGAGTAGCCGCCCATTGTCTGCTGCATTGTGCATAAATAATTAATTCCAGCCCCTCCATTTTGATAAAGAACGAACACAATTAAGAACATATTTTAATTCTGTAATCATGAAAACCCGTTCGCCGTGGTCCGGTTCTAAGTTTAGATCCGTAAATGGCGGCGCGTTCGCAATTTACATTAAACAAGCGTCGCTTGTGACATGGCCAAAGGCTAAGATACCAAAGTAATTTGCACTTGAAGTGTTGTGAAATACTTTTCAAACTAATCCCCGTTTGGAGGCACGTCCCAAGAGCCAACGTCCCAGGCAGCATCATTCCCACGCAGTAACAAATTAACAAATAGAATGAGACTGAGACTGAGACCATGGGCCAAAAGGAGCTGAGAGCTGAACGCAAGCTTGACGCAAAGTTGTGAAATACTTGCGACTGTCCGACGATCGATGAAGAAGATTCTGTGCCGGCCCTACACATCCATGACTCATTCGGCGAACAAGTTTGTTCAGTCATGGGAAAAAAAGGCAAAAAAAAAAAAGAGGAGCAGAAAAGGAGCTGTGCGTACTTAAGCCAGATTGGAGAACTGGCAGAAAAGGCAGCCAAACAGAGCGGCAATCAGCTTTGTTACTAGTGGGAGTCGTGCTACACCTCATACACTTGGTAGCTGGCTGAAACAACCGTTGCACTGGCCGCTGTGCGCGTGAAATAAGCAAATATGCGTTTGCCTTTGGCTTTGGGCCAAAACCAGTTTTTGGCATGCGTTCCGCCAAGTTCGTTGCCTAAGTCTTTTGTTTGTGCTGCCTATTAAATGCAGTCATAGAGTTCATTGCCTGCACATACACACACACACACACACACACACACATAAAACTCTCGTTGGGTCTGTGTTGCTGTAAACAATCAATTGTGACATTTATGGGCACTTCTCCCAGCTAGCATTAAATGGTCTATAAACTGACAACAATATATGTATAGTTAGGTATAGATGTGTGTTTCTCTTTGCTTTTATAGCTAATACGTAAGTGTGGTAAAATTGATTCTGAAATATGTTAGATATATATTTATATATAGCGGCTATAGCGTGTTGCGGGTATTACGACTACTTTATATACATATATAGGAGCAGAATTCGATTTATATATCATAATAGAGTTTCAACTCATTATTTTATTATACAGTTTACGAGGTGTGCTCTAAATGTATTGAGCTCTACATTTTTCTTAAATTATCTTCTTTTTTTTTTAAGAATATCTACTTTCATATTATACAATATTATACTTTCTTGCATCTTCTTCAAAAATAATTTGTTAGTGATCTTGTTTAGTTATTCCTTTGATACCGACTTGATCGTAAATAGAGTATATAGAGAAGAGTTTATAAATTAAGATAAACAATTTCTGATCATTATAAATTTATTATTTATCAATGCTCTTTAGTTTGTACATTACCCGAAATAAATTTGTCAAATCAAAAAAACCTTTTCAATTTTTGGGTAAGTAGAAAAAAATGTTTCTATCTCGTGCTATTTTATTTTATTTTATTTTTTCGGATAATAAATCAGAGATTCTCTTGCGATGTTTTGGATTTTCTAGCCTACATTTTCGCCACAAAAACTTCACATTCCCAGTTCCCTAACAGACAGTGACAGCTCGCTATGACAGACAATTATCTCTGGCTACACAGACACACACATTTCTATATATACAAATTGAATATCTCGCCGTCATTGCTTAGTGAGAGGCTGCACTTGGAGACTTGGGCGCCCACAACTAACCCACTTGAATGCACTAACTAAGTTGCTCTGGTATGCGAACAGCAAGAAGAAGAGGTAAGAACTGCTATCCATGACCCATTCACACAGGCGTTGAGCTATGCGTAACTAAATTCTATGGCACTCGCATTCTTTCCCAAACAGCCCGGAAGTTGGCTGAGGCTCTGGTATGCGAGCAGCTCCACAATTCGACGGAGAATTTATAGCAGCTAGGTCCGCTTTAATTTAGACACCGAAAGCTTTACATAAACTTCAGCCCATTCCCGCTCCCAGCTTGAAATAGAAAGCACTTAACCAAAACTAAAATCAAACAAAGCTCAGATATTTGGCTTGAAGGTCACGCTGAGGCTGATTCGAGGTCTTTGGCCATAAGGAAGCCCTGCCCAGCGGCTGCTGCCAAAAGGGGCAGACAGCTTGAACTTCCTTTATGGCAATGCGTGTCAATTTTCATTTTCTTTTTCAACATCATTATTCTGCTGTCTGTTTTATTTTCGTTAACACTCAGTTTTGGCCAAGTGTGTGCGCGCCAACTTCCACCGGCATTTGCATTAGGCATACAAAACATTTCGAGTATAATGTTTGGCATTCAAGACTCGCCTTAGTAAATTAAATAATAAATATTAAAAAAAAGCATGCGAGAATAAATAGCGGAACCAAATTAGGAAGTGGCCACAATACACACGGTAACCAACTGGCCACTGGCCAGAATGTCAGGCCCATATTTGGAGCCCAAGCAACAACAAAAACAACAACAACAAACTGAGCCGGGTCGTCAAGTGGATATTTGTGCGGTTGGGAATCTAAAACGTTGTCATTGGCATATTAAACACTATTCGATATCTGATAGATGTATGTATATGTATGTATGTAACTATATGTTTGGGTTTCCCATTATGACTACGGATAGCTTGAATTGCGGTTCGTTTGACATACAAATATGCGCTATCAAATGTTTATAGCTTAAGAGATAACTCAATTATGGACACTACTTAATGTACAAAATTGTTAGTGGTAATAAACGCAAGCTGACATACTCATACATTTTATACATTCCAGAAATACTTTATATAATATTTTCATAGCATTAGGAACAAAAAAAAAAAAAAAACATTTATCAGAGATTGGGTTATAAATTATAATATTTATGCTAGTTATTTAAAATTCTCAAAAAAATTTTATTTTACTATATCCTAACAAGCCTTTAATTTACGAATAAAAAATATATATTTTATAATATTTTTAGAGCTTATTGAATACAAATATTTTACTACTAATATAATCTGATTATTATTATTTTTACTATTTATACCCTGAACCCATTGAAAATGGGAAATCAGGGTATAATGGGTTTTTTTTATTTAAAATGTATTTTCATATAATTTATTTAATTTAAAATTTTAAAAATGCATGTTTTATGTATATAAAAGACAGTAATAGTACTTTAAAAAATTTTTTGTTCAGTAGTACGAGTAAAAATTTGTACTATCGCATACATAGGTAAATGGTATTTAATAATCTTTTATTAAGAATTTATCTTATCAATAAGGATAGCTTATTAAATATTTCAAAACCTATTATTCTCTACTACCAATAAAATAAATATATCTGAAATTACAATACCGAAAAGCTCTTAAAAATAATATTATATAGCTATCCATTTATTTAGAAAGCTAAGTTATATAGTTATATGTAATATTCAAATGCTGTAAAAAAAAACACATATAAAAGCCAACTATATTTACTATAAATTTTATAGAGCTCCCATAAATTGAAAATTTAATACGTTGCAAATTGAACTACCCTATAATATTCATAAATTTAAATAACTACCAACTCATAAGCCATCAAATACAGCAATTTTAAAGAAGCCATGCGCGGAGAGTGTGAAAATCAAGTTCTGGGCAATTTTAAGCCTTTCAGCAATGCATAAGAATAAAATTGATATGCACATTTGGCAGTCAGGCGAAGAGGAACAATAAAAGTGATTTTCATAAATTATTCAAAGCTTAACTGCTTCCGTTTTGGGACACATTGACAGTCGATTGGCAGTCGCACATTGAGTTCGTCGTCTTGGGCATTGACAGTCAGTTTGACAAGTAGTTAAAGTAGTTATATACCCTACAGCTGGCTACTTGGCCAAGCAGACGGCAAAGTGCTGAGAATTGAGGCCTCGACGCTGGCGCTGCAGTTGCGGTTAGCGCAGCTGTTTGTATAAATTTACAGCAGCTAAGGCAGAACCAGCAGCAATAACAACAACAAAGTAACAACAAGTTTATTTAACATTTTATTGTATAATTTTCGGATGTGGTTTAACGGCTAACCGAAGCGAGCCACAGACGCTCCACAGTTCTCTGGCATAAATTAACGCGTGCAGCTAAATAAAAATACAAATAAAAACAAGAAGCAAAAAGAAGAAAATAAAATACAAATAAAAATAAATACATATATTTATTTACATTGAGAGCGCGGGCTTTAGCTCTGACTTGGGCTTGGGCATGGACCTGGGGCCGAGTTCCGCTCGAGTGCGCCACAGGAATGTCGCAGACAATGGGGCGGGTTCTAGTTTTTTTTATTTTTGAGAAATATTCTATGCAAATTGCATACGAACTAAACGGACAAAGCGACTGGCAGACGGACAAACTAACTCGCTGAGAGACAGGCAGACTGCGTAGCCAGCAAGGCGACAAAAGGGTTAAGGTTTGCATTTTGTTCTGAATTTATGGATATTAACACAATATTTGTTGGGTGCGTTAGTTAATTACCCAACACGAACAAGCCCTTTTACCGTGGAAAACTAAACAAGGTGTGCGCCCAGGACACGTATACCCTGCAAGTGAGCTTAGATGTAGGGTATAAGCGTGTGAAATATTGAGAAGCGACTTTGGGCGATTCAATAATATTTTAATGTATTTTTGACAACTGCTTATATTATTATAAGGCATCTAGCAATCGTTAAAGTGAAACCGATAAATATCGATTCAATTCCCATACAGTTTCTAATACTCAACAGAACCTTGCTACTTTACCTAAGCAAAACGTTAGTCATCAGTTAATTTATATTATAAAATATCACATATTACTTATATTTTGGATAATCGATATTTATTGGTTAGCAAAGCCAAACATAGAGCGTAAAAAATATTATGACAACCTTATATATAAAATATGTTCTAATTTTATTCATTATCTATATCCGTAAAGTTAATAACACTAATATAACAAAAAAATTATATCCTACTATAATTTCTCACATATAAATTCCAATCAAAACTTTGGTAATACATTTCATGTACTTCTGTTTGCATTTCGATCTGCGTTGAGTAAACTACAGGGTATCAACTTATCGAAAGACAATCTCAATTGCAAGTTTCCCATTTGCTTTTATTTCCCATGCAAATCGCCTGCCAGAAATCAATTAAAAGCACACGTGACAGACAATTTCTACCCATATACCATATTTGTATCCTTTTTATATTGTAGCTGGGTTGTTTTTTACTTTATTAACTGACCGTCGCTTCCTGTTCCCTGGGGCACCGTTAGCTTGGCCTTGCGGTTCCTGCCTGACGGCCTGCCTGCCTGCCTGAGAGCGTGGGAGCGGCTTTTTGAATTTTCATTTCAATGAGCTCGACTTAAGTTCCATTGATTTATGTCGAGCTCTGTGTGAAAGTCTGCGGGCTTCCAATTGATACTTTTCGTACATCTTTTTTCCTTCACTCTCTCTCTCTCTCTCTCTCTCTCTCTCTCGCTCTCTCTGAAGTGCTCGTCTGTTGCAGCTTATCAAATTGTCATCTTTGCCGAGGGGTTGCTGATGCGCTGCAGACTTTGCCAAAATTAAATTGTTGGAAAATTTACAGAGGGATTAAATTGATTTTGATTTATGGCGGACAAGTGCATGCCCTGGGGTTATTTGGTTTAGCATTCATGAGACTATGCAAAGTGGATTGAGAGGAGCGTGCATGTAAGTAAAATATCGGATAAGAGTTTGCCATGATGTGGGCTTAAAGTGGATTTTTGAAAAGGGTTTGTGTGGGTTCTTCAATTAAAAGGAATGGAATTTCAATAATTGATTATAATTTATGGCTGTTGTCTTAATGCGATAGCTTAAAAATATTTTGTTGTCTATTTTTTGTATATCTCCTTCTGCTCTATGGATTGGTAAATTCTTTATAAAAAAATTTAAGCAAAAACCAATAGAAATGAGGACTTGCAACTCCTAAAATATTTTATAGATAAATAAATTTTACTAATATTTTAAAACAATGATGAACATCGATAATCGGTTACAGTGTATATGTATTACCTATACCATTAACTATAACTCTCACCTACATATTGTACAATTTTTATACTCAGCTCCAATTCAGTTCGCAGAGAAAATTCTAATAAATATATGGAGAGAAATTCATACTGTATATATTGTATTGTATATTGTATGAGCGTACTTCGGCTTTAACTTTTCACTTTTCTTTTGCTAACAATCTTTCTTAAAATACATCAAGCAAATTGAGTGACCTCTCCTAATCAGTTCATCATAGCGTGGTTTAACTGTCATCTGAATACAATAACTTTAATATTATTAAGCCAGGCTCAGTTATTCATGTTATTCTTTCTGCTTTGCTGGCCTTTGGAATAACATTTCAACTCTGCGCATTTGCATTTCTAATTGACATGTTCTTTGCTTTCAGAATGCTACCTGTTCTTCTTCTTCTCCGTCACCAACTCTTTCATTTTCGTAGACACTTTGATTGATTTGCAAATAAGACCTTGCCAGAAATCTGCTTAAAAATTACAACAGCTCATTGTATTTAATAAGTGTCAGAGACAACAATTTTCAATGGGTTACATAAGATCCTCTTGCCGCAGTTTCCCACGCTTCGCTGTCAGAATTCATCACCTCAGTTCTTCCACTGGCTCAACTCGTTTTCATTCTGCTTTTTGGGAGGCTTTACCTGGGCTGATTACACACATATAAATTTATATAGCTATAATTGAAATCGGCTACTGGTATTTTGATGTATAAACAAATATTTTACCTAAGCTGGCCCTACGCGCCCTTTAAATGTCCAAATCATCTATGCTTGGGATTCTCTCTTACCCCTCGAGCTAAACAAATGAGTTGCGTTCCGTGTTGTTGTTTTTGTTATTGTTTTTTCTGCTATTTCATCGTAATTATCAACTTGAGAAGAAAAAAGTGCTCATTACTCCATGTATGGCTGGAAAAGAGGAGGAAAAAACAGCAACCTGCCATCTAATCATGTTAGAAAGTGATGCGAGTTGTTGCTGTTGTTGTTGTTGTTGCTGGCAAACGAGTTGCACGAGTCTCGACTCTACCAATAGCTAGTTGAGAATAGCTCAGTTTCAATTTTATTTAGCAATTTTCGGTTAGAAAGTGTAAATGAAAGGGGTTGAGTTAGCACAAAGCGCCCACACGTCTACAAGATATGCGTAGTATGAAAAGAGTGAACGAAATTGGACAGTGGGACTTCCCTTTCAATATGGTTTCCAATTAAAAAATATCATAATTTATTTTAAATTTGGTTATTCTAAATTTCCCTTTAACCTATAACTTCAAGTCTCAATCCCTAGAATATTATAAAAAGATGTATATAAATCGAATGCCCAATAATGCAAATAAACCTGGCTTCAAGGTATCTCATAGTCAAGCAATCCCAACTAGAGTTCTCATACTTTTTTCTGTCTCCACGATTTGCTGTTCACAACTTGGCTGCTCTGCTGCCTGGAGATCACACCGTTTTCATTTTCATCAGAAAATCTATAATAAGCATAATTCATAGTTACCGTTCAGCTTTACCCGAAATCTTACAAGTTTTAATAACCTTTTTTTCATTATCTCTCATTTTCCATAAGTTGTAAAGCACTTTTTAATGAGACAAATTATCAAACAACTAATTTAGAGATAAACTCCCACCAGCCTCTTATAGCTTAGATATCAAATTAGGTACACACACACACTCGCATATACGCACTCACACACACGCACGCATACACACGCATGCACACGCAAACTCTGTG